TGATAAAAACTTATCTCAAATCCTCCACCAAACTCTTGAAGTTCCTTTAAATCTCTTCTCTTTTACAACACTCTTAACTCTCACAATAAAACTAAAAACAAAAAGGATAAAGTAAATTTATGGTGCCTAAAAATCTCTCCCAAAGAACTTCTTAGGACTCCCCCTTTTCAAGCACACTTCTAAGAGTCTCAACTTCTTTGTTTTATAAATTTCTAAGACATGACTTGGTAACTCTTCAAAATGTGTCCAAATTCGATGTATTCTCAAAGGGATGCCTCCTTTCATAAGTGTTTTAATCATATTTTCGTTTCTAGTGGTCATAACCACCCTTTTTAGTCAATAGGTGCCTCAAATGTCCCTTCAAAATTTGACAAAATGAATTACACCATCAAATAACTGCCTCTAGCACTTAAGCTCGGGGCCTCTAATGCTTAGGCGTGGCCTTCTCTATTTCACTGGCGCTTAAGCGTCGGATCAAGCGCTTAGGCTCCAAAACTCTTTTGTACCATTTTAGTATTCTTGCTCCAAATTTGATCATTTTTCACATTTGATCATTTTTCACCGCTCCAAATTTGATCATTTTTCACCCCTTTTAGCATTTTTCAGCTTTTTACTTGTACCTGAAAGGAAAACACACAAATACTTTCCATTAAAGTGCAATATGTCAAAAAGGCATAAAAATGTGTCTAAAATCACTATATATTTTAGGTGTATCACATACCTATCCCCTGAATTTGATCTCGCTGAAATATAGTTGTGTGAAATTTATAAAATTGACTCCACTTTATAATGGTGCCAAAAACTTGATGTGATATTTTATTTAGTAATAACTTTAAGCACTTAAGATTGAGATTCTACGCAAGTATACATATTGTTATCAAGTAACATAAGACTTTCTGTTTTAAGTCCCAAATATCGATCTCACGGGGAAGGTTTAAATTTGAAATGATAAATTAACTAGGAAATTCACATAAATCAAACGAAATTATTGTCACTAATTTCGAATGTGTAAGATGCTAAAAAAACTAAGTTATTACCTACTAGCAAAACTTAAATGCAGAGTTTAAAATAATAACTACTAAACTTTGTTTACGTTTTTATGTGATGAAGTTTTCTAATATGAAAAGCATCTTTCGCACTACAATGAGTATTTGGTGAAATGAGATAAAATAAATGGTTTAAAATTGTATTGTGCCAAATAGTAGCATTTTTAATTCTCTACCCGGATTCAGTGTTATAGAAAATCATTGGTTAATCTTAGGTTTAGTCCCTAAATCCGTGGCTATGCTAGGAGCATACTTGCTCCCACTCAAGAGCTCCCACTTCCCTTCCCCTGAAGACTATATCTCTCTTTAATTTTTAAACACTAAGATCAAATTGAGGATTTTTAATGTCACCCTCCGTCACCCTAAAAATATCTCCAATTCTACACCCAACAAAGTATATTTTCTTATTTATTTGCACTTAATTCCATGAACGAAACATTCCTTCATGGACTTAAATGTGATTATCCAGAGCTTCCACTTCCCTTCCCCTGAAGGCTAACTCTCACTTTAGTTTTTAAACACTAAGATCGAATTGGGGATTTTTAGTATGTCACCCTAAAAATAACTTCAATTCTACACCCAACAAAGTATATTTCCCTATTTATTTGCACTTAATTTCATGAACGAAACACTCCTTCATGGACTTAAATGTGATTCTCACTCTGTTGTAGAACTCATACTTCATTTACCGGATCATATGTTTCAAAACATATTTTAACAATTCAATTGGTGAGATCGAAAAATAAATTAAGAGTGGAGTTGAAAACCATCACAATTTATTTTAAATTTTTACATTGGCATGCATCCCAATATCCTAAACATGAATCTCTTCATTTCATCATATCTCAGGGTAGGGAGAAAGATAAAGGAAACTACTTAGAATTCATGAGAAAGATACAACAAAACACAAATTTCATATATAAAAAAAATTTCATACAACAATAATAAACAAATTACACTTATCTGAGATTCTATTTTAAAGAAAATCTCTTATAACCTCTCTTAGGAAATGTAGGAAGCAGAAATCTCTCACTTCTCATCCTCTCCAACACTTCTTAGAGAAGAATTCACACTTAAACTAACCACAAAAACTCAAAACTATAAAGAAAATAACTAACTAATGGTGTGGAATGGCGTAGAATGTAGGCATGTGAAGAGGAAAAATTGAGTTAGTGGAAGAACATGAAATGGTGCTAGGGGGTTTCTGATCAAATTTTGGTAGGGGGGGTTCTGATCAAATTTCGGCTCCAATAGAGCCTAGGGTCGGTTCACCAATAGGTGCATCAAAAAAATCTTCAAAAAGTGTCCAAATTCACCGAATCTTATAGAAACAGGGCCTACACTAGCACTGGCATCGTCGACGCCAGAGGCCATTTAATTTAATCTACCTTCTCTATCAAACGGCGTCGTCGGTGCCCAGTCTGGCACCGTCAGTATTGAACAATTTTTCAATTTCTCCATTTTGACTCCAAATTTCATCCTTTTTGCTTCATTTTTCGCTCCAAGTCTTGAATATCAACAACCTGCAATAAAACATTAAAAATATCTTCCATTAAAGTGCAATATCACCAAAAATGACTATAAAATATGGGTCTAATAATACATATATTTTTTG